ACCCTTTGGATTATTCTGCTAATTATTAGAAAATATGTTTTTTTCTAGGCTTAATGAACTCTTGATTATAAAAGATCTTTAATAATAAGGCTAAAATTCTTAATCAATAATAAATAATTAAAATTTTATTTAAATCAATGATTTTACTATTCATCAAACATTCACAGTTTTTGTCTTTATTAAAAATTAGTTTTGATTTTGATATTTATTGAAATTTTAGAATTTGTTAAGTAATTTTATCTATTAATCAACATTTATACTGAATTTAAATATAGATAAATCAATAATTATAAAATTTAAAAGATTTTTTTTTTTAATAATAATCAGATTATCTATTTAGGATTATTCTTTAGGATTCTTTTTCAGAAAAGAAAGATCATATTTATTTCTATTTTTTTTGGATTTTATATCTTTTAGTACTAGGTAATAATGATAATAAATTTAACAATATTGAAATTCTTTAGAAAATACATATAGTATGATTCTATTTGGTTATATTACCTTTACAATATAAATTTAATTTAATTGTATTAACTGAAAAAGAACAGTTGGAATAAAATTTAATTATTTTATTTGTTAAGTTAATTTATTATTATAATAAAATTTATTGAATAATTTTTGAATTGGAAAATAAGATTTAATAAATTATATTAAAGATTTAAATAAATTTAGTAATTTAGTTATTTGAGTATTATACAATTTAGTTATTTAAGAAGTTAGATAAAGTTGGTATACTAATGATGTAAGTTGAGATCTCAGAAGATATAAATGACATGTCAGGTTGACTCAAATATTTAGGTCAAGTCATCAAATTTATGACTTAATATTAGGTTAAGTTTTAATTTTGATCTGACTCGATCAACCCGCTAACCAATTTATCATCATTCAAGAAGAATATTTACCATCATTCTAGTTAAACTATATATTATTGTTATCATTATTTTTGAATAATTAATATCATTCTAATTAAACAATACATTATTAAAAATGATTCTTTATCATTTAAGCATCATCATTATTGGCTTGGTATCTGTAAACTTAAACGATAAACTTTTAATTCAATCTATTGAATTAAATACAAGATAATATCACAATTATACCTATATAAAGATACGATAAAAGGTAATAGTAAATGAATTTAAAGATTACTTTATTGAACTCTTAGTTCATCCTAAAACTTAGTCTCAAATTACTTTTCAATTCAAGGGAAAATATAAGATATTTATATAAAATAAAATATTATAAAATATACAATAATAAATATAATACAAAAGATAAAATAAATAAATAAAATAAATATAATTACTTTACTAACTATAATATAATTAATAGTCTAATTTGTTCACTTCGTTAACTTTATTAATCATTTTAAACATATAACTAATTAAGGTGCAGTCACAAATCAAGTTGAATAATATATTATTATTCAAGAAGAAAAATTAACCATTGTTTAATTAGAATGATATATTATTAATATATTAGATATCAAATAAAGCCTTTTGAGTTACTCAATAAAACAGGTTAACCCAAAGTGACTTTAACCTGAATACTTTCAGTAATCTGCCTAATATAACCTGAAAAAAATATCAGGTGTGTTAATGAGGTAATCCTAACTAACCTGACCTGTTCAGTGCTCTAGATGTGAGTTTTAATGTAATATTATTCTTTAAGGAGTCACTCAAATTAATAATTTAATATTATTTTGATAACAAATAAGGAAAATTTGGTAAGTTAGTGATTTGAGTGTTTTTTGCAATTGAGAGTTGTTAATTTTCAATATCTTTGTAAATCCCTAGAGTGTTTAATATTACAAAAGATATTTTGCTCAATAACTTGACTTTATTATTTTAAGTTAAAGTTTATAGATCTATATTAGTCAATTTTATCTTTGACCATAATTTCTTCCAGCCGATATGTCCTATGGCCAAAATATCTCCTGATAAATCCACATGCTAAAAATTCTTCTAGGTATATCGCCATCTGGCTATTTGTCATTACAAAAAAATTTAATATTGGGAATTAGAAAGGTCTTTCTTTACTTTTTATTATTACAATTTTATTCTTTCTTATACGTAAAAAACTAGCGTAACTTCGTAAATAATACTTAACTCTTGAGATTTTAATTTTTTATCGCAGTCAATAATAGTTTTCATAGTTAGCTTTAGCTTTATCTCTTCGCATTTATTGACTTTTTTTATCTTTGATAATTACTTGCTTAGCTTTGGTTTCTTTTATATCATTAATATTTGCCTTGGTAACCTTTAACTGTTCTTTTAATCTTATAAATATTAGTGCAGTTTTTTTACTTTGATTTTCCTTAATTCTTCTTTCAAATCTTTAAAGATTATTTATAGGTCATTTTTAAAACTATTTTAAGATTAATTTCTTTATTTTAAAAATAGAAAATAATGAAATTTTAATGCACCAAATGTGATCATTTGGCCAATTTGAGATTAGATTAATAAACTTCTTTCTTTTTTTAGAAGTTTTATGATTATTTTAAGAAAAGCCAAAAATGGCTTACGTAGCAAAATAGAACATAAAGGAAAAGAATCTAAGTTAAGTAATATTATGTAATCTAAATAATCTAAAATAGAATGAAGAGTAAATTTTTCATGACATTGAAAATTTCAGTTGATCTGTTTGATAATTGCATTACACTTCACTTTTTTTTACTACGTTAGAATTTCATGTCATGTTCACCAATTAAAAAATGCTAATAAGATATATATTAAATAAGATTAGTGCAAAGAGAAATAAATAAAAAGAATGAAAATCAATTAAATTGTAATTGGATAAATGAACCAATTATTTAATACTTTAGAATTATTATTACTTTATGAAAATAAATTATTAAGTATCTTGCCTAAGAAAGTAGTTTAGAAATTCACTTGTTTAGTTAATATCATAATTGAATTCATGTGAAGACACTTATGCCAAAGAGGAATGTGATATTAGAATTAGAAATTTATTAAAGTTCATACGATAAAATAAAGTAGCCACACATGAAAATTTAAATGAAATTTATATTCTGTACTGATTAATTATTACTAATCATAGTTTTATTATAATGATAGAGATCTTTTAGTCATTTGTCTAGGATTCCTACAGTATTATTTATTCTTTGATAAACTTCATCAGAATTTGTCTAGCGGTTCATTAAATAATTGAGTAAAAAATATTTGATGATCTCGTTTTATATTTTATTCCATTTTTCATCTTTAACTTTTTATAATCAATTCTTTTAAAGAAAAATATCAATATATTCTATTCCATCTCATTCAATTATTTACATGTAATATTGTAAAAATGGTTTGCATTAGGATGTTAATTTGCTTTAATCATAAAGTAAACAAAAAAATCAATTCTTAATAAATTTGTATGAAGACCATCTTTTATTGTTATTCATAAATAAAAGATAAAAAGGATAAATGATCTAGAGGAATGTTTGATGAAAATGTTCGAAGGCTAATTTGTTTGCGATGAATTATTTTTTCATTAAATAATATATCTCAAACATTTCCAACTTTGCAATATGGCATTCATATAATTATATTATTATAAAAATTAATTTCTGATTAAATAAATCACAGTAAAAATTTAACACTACATTATTTCTATTTTTTTTCTCAAATAACTGTTATATGAAATTAAAAATCACAATGCAAATATCAATTGGATTAAAATTTCTATTTTAATAAATCTTTATATTTTATAAATATAATTATATTAGCAAAGTTCAAGCGATTGTACTGGAAAAGTCAATCGTACAAATTGAAAAATTCAAAAAATTCAAAAGCAATATTTCACGTTATATTTGTTTCATGACATATCAGGTTAAGGTCTAAAATTTTGACTTAATGAACTCTATAATAAGTTTTATTAAAATATAAGTATATTTATTGTTTAAGAATATGCTGATGAGCGGATACCTAAAAATCGTCCAGTTGGCAAGTTCAGAAATTGATTCTTATAGAGATATTTATTAAAATTTATGTTTTAATTTTTATTTCATTATATTTTTTTTCAATATGTAAATTCTTTGATATTTTCTATCAGACTTAAAACAAAACAACAAAAAATGTTTCTATTATTATTTAATTTCAAATAAACGGATTTTTATTTAGTACAATACTTGATACATGTTCGCGATTGAATTTAAATTAATGATTTAAATTTATCATTTTTTCAAATACATAAAGAATGTAAAAAAAATCTAATTTAAGTTAGTTCAAAATGTAATATTGAATTTTTTTTTAATAAATTGGCGCGAAATGTCTAATTTTTTAGAAAAAATCATTGAGAATTATTCATTTTCTTTAACAGATATAAAAAAATCACAAAAGTTTTTTTCAAGATAAAAAAACTTGTCTCACTAAACATTGCACACACATTAGGCATTTTTTATTTCGAATTTATGGTTAGATCAAAAATCACAAGCTATTCAGACAAAGGTGCGTTATTCCTGAAAAAAGGTATTTTAAAGATATTCAATCTATTGAATTTTTATTCCTTTATATAATTTTAAAATTATGTTGCAATTTCATCTGGGTCAACAATTACACTACACTTAGTAACATAGCGGTAAAACAAAACAAAATAATAAGATATAACTACTTAAAGATTTATTATAAATTGTTATTTAATGGAAAATTTTCTGCATATGTAAAATATGAAGAAATACAAAAAAAAAATAGAATAAAAAAATAAATCTATAATGACACTTGATGGAGTGTCAAGTCTTTAATTTATCAAACGTTAAAATGAAGAAAACAAATCGTTAATAAATTTAAAGAATAATGAAAAATTTTATGCATAAGTAAATATGAAGAAATACAAAAAAAATAGAATAAAAAAAATAATCTATAACGACACTTGATGGAGTGTCAGATTTTAATTTATCAAACATCAAATAAAGAAACCTATTATTTAAGATTAAGTAATTTATCGATCTTATTATTAACCTCTTTGATCTTACTACAAACCTTATCAACTTTGCTTGTCCAATTCAACAACCTCATTATTAAGCTTAACACTAGTACCTTCTATCTCTTCTATCTTACTATAAGCTTTATCAACTTTGCTGTTCAATTAAATAACCTTATTATTAAGTTCGACACTAGTAACTTTTTCATTCTTCTGTTCGCTTTCATAATCATTATATAAGTTTTTTTTTCACGTTTTTTAACATTCTCATCCCAGTTTTCATGACTTTTTGATTTACCAATATAATAAATATATTCTGGTTCTGGTGTCGGAGGATAAAAATATATCTCGTCTAATGCCTCATAATCAGAAATTGAAACTGCACGAAATCGTAGTAAAGCAACACGACCTTTCTCAAATGCATTAGAATACACACCCTAAGGAAAATTTAATTAATTTACTAATTATATTCGAAAATAAAACTTGAAGAAAATAAAATGAAACCTACTCTGTAAAAGCAATAAACATGTTTTGTAAAATAGTTACTAAAAAAACTACCAAAGAAGGTAATAAACTTTACCGCCCAAAAATTCCATGTATCTTCTTGTAAAAATATAACATTTAACCAATTATATGTTGAAAGAAATGAGGAAACGAAAGTTTAGATGGATTATCTTCGGTTCGATCAAAATCTTTTTGAATTTTGAAGTTAGAATCACCTGTATATAATGTGGATAGTGATGTTAATTCTGTAATATTTATAAAGTCAGGATATTGTAACAATAATAAAAAACTATGTGCCAATCCTGCTATCACAAGAATCATAAAAGCAAGAAATATCCAGATCTCTTTAAGAATATTTAGCATAATATAGATATATTTCGCTAGTTCTAAAAAGAAATAACCCTTATAAAAGTTAAACAATTATAAAATATGATCAATACCATATATCAAATTCCAATATTACCTGATATTAACTGAAGATATAAAATCTATTTGATAAAATAAATGTAATAATTTTTAATTTTAATTTAATTCATTTTTTTGTATAAAAATTACGAAATACATACAAGTTCAAACCATAGTAATAACATTGTTAAAGAAATCGTGATGGTTATTTCTTGAGTTGTTACAATATTAGCAAATACATTTTTAGTATCAAATGAAGGACATTACAACCATTGCTATGACAATTGATACTAAATCAATACAATTAAAAGATTGAAGTAATATCTCCAATCATGATGTTGAAACTGTCTGAATTCTACAACTAATAAAAAACATCCTAAATAATAAAAAAGGATAATAAGACATAATAAAAAGTTACAATATCCTTTTACTTCAGAATGTGCCACATAAGTCCTACAAATTGCTGCAAAACAAGCTGCGAATAAAATACAAAGCAAAAAAAAGGAAGAAAATAATTTCTTGCTAGTTTCCATTTGTAATTAATTACAGCTTTCATTACAGGATTATTATCATCATTATTTTCTTTTCTAATTATTTGTACAAATGGACTAAGTTGTGAAAATTGCTTTGCATTAGCTGAATGTTTAACAATATAATTTTGAGGGATAAACTATAATTTCAAAAGTTTGATAATATACTGGAGAAAGGATTGAGAGAGATTGTCATTATTCTTTCCTCCTATATTATAAACAGTAAAATTATATAAAAAAACTGTTTTTACAGTTGGAGTATATTTTTCATATTTCTTTGAAAGAAATTTTATGTAAAATTCTGTTAATCTTAACTTCAAACTAGCTATAAAATCAAATTTTGTTTACTTGAAATAAGTTTTAAGATTGGATTAAATGCTATGAACATTTGTTTTGCTTTTAAAATAATTTAAATATTTTTAGGTATAATATCTGTACATTCAATAACATTTGATATTTTTATACCTTCCATGCATTTTTTATAAAATAATTCACTTGCACAAAATTCTATTTAATAAGATTTAATTTTATTAAAAAATAATAATAACTAGTTTGAAAATGATTTAGAACAATTAATATTACATGCCTAAATTATATGTGTATAAGTCTGGTAATGCTTTTGAAATAGTAATTAATCATCTGTGATGATCAGTTGCATTTTCAAATAATATTCAAGTAAATAAGTTACAACTAAAATTCTACATTTGCATTCAAGACTTATAAAGAAATATTTATTAATTAAAATTATTAAATTATTTAAATTCTATAATACTCAAATAATGAATAACATTACTAGGTTCACATAATCCAATAGCTATTTGCAAATCACTTTTATTTGAATTATTTTCAATTTCAGTCCATCATTTTATTCTTGGTATATGTAAATTTGTATGTTTTACTACATTATCATCAAATAAAATATATTTAATAAGAGTATCTGAGCTACTAATTATAATACTTGCCATAAGATTATAGTGAATATCTAGTATTTTCCAAATTTCAGGATGTTCTCTAATACATCTTAAAATCATAAGAGAAAAATTGTTTTTAATTTCTTCAAATACTATTGTTTTATTTTTATTAAAATAAAGTTAGCAATTATTTATTATTATTTTTTTTTTTTTGCTTTTAAAATAATATATTTATATTAAAAATTAATAATTAATTACCGTGCTGATTCTCATATCTGGCTAAATTATTTCTTTGATTATTTAAATATTCAAGACCATCACAAACATGCTTCATTAAGTTCTTATAACCAACAACCTTTTCATTTGTCTATTTGAAATCAATATAATTATTATTTTTTTTTAATTTAAAAGAAAAACCACTTTTAAAAACAAATAAATCTACTATTTTATTATCATTAATTTTATCATTTCCATTAGTCCAAAAATATTCAATAATAAAATTTTCTTTTTGCTTACACCATCACCATACTTGAACTGTGTATTTTCCAATGTATAACTATATCAATTCTTCTTGATCAAGATATATCCTTTTCCATTTATAATCTTTAGTTATTTATAGTTCTATATTACGCAATGCTACGTCTTTTAAATGATCTTTATTATCATATTTTAATATTTTATCTGAATTTTTTAAAATTTTAATACCATTTTCGTATAATTTGAATTCTGGTAAAGAACTTTGATTTTCTTCTAACTTATTATATTTTATATTATATATAGATAATATTTCACCAAGATCATCAACAAATATATATTTACTAGAAATCATTGCACTAAAAAAATATTTTTTTTATCTTCTTTCACTGTGATTTATTCATAATATTGAATTTCATCTGTATATAAATGCCAAATTGATATCTCTGCTACTTGCTTAGCTTGTGCTTGTTTAATTATCATTAATTTATTATCATCCTTAAATTCGCAAGCAATTATTTTGGTGTCTTTTTCAAAATCTTTACGAATAATATCTAAACCATTTTCTATTAAACAAAGAGTTATATTTCTATATCCAGAAGAAAAGCAATCATTTGCTTATTTTTTGAAATAGCTAATATGGAATTTCTATATTTTTTAGGATTATTTTTTTCTTCATATATATTAAATATTTGTTTTATTTGCATAGTTTTTAGATCATACAATTGCATAACTTGAATACCTTTAGTGTATTGCTTAATATAAAAATAATGAACATAAATACATTCATTAATTCAGTATAAATAAGATATAGACTTGTATAAAGCTTCTAATTCGTTCATAAGTTTTTTTGAATAATTAAAATGCTCAAAATACTTTAAACAATTATTATTGAATATACATTCAAGTCTATAGATTCCTCTTACATTAAAGATCAAACATACAGGTTTATGTTTATTGATATTGTTTTCACCAGAATTTTTTCATCAGAATCGTTTTTACTAGAATATTTTCCATTAGTATCGTTTTTATTAGAGGATTTTTCATCAGAATCGTTTTATCATCCACAAAAGAAACAATTCCACTGATATTTTCCTTTTTATAATCTAAATTACCTTGGGTTCTAACTTTTCTAACTTAATTTTTAAAATAACTGTTTTTTCATACTGTCCATCTTCAACTTTAATGTTAATGTTTGAAGTATTATTCTTATTTTTATTTTGTTTATTATTGTTGATTTTCATATTGAATTTAGATACACATGATATTACAACAAAAATAGCCTTTTGATTTTGATCTATATTAGATGTTGCTAATAACCATTTTAGACCTTTAGGAGATTTATAATTTTTCAAAGTGACCCTTAATTGTATATCTCTCAACATTATTAATTTCTTTATATCGATTATATTCAATAATTTTAAGCTTCTTATTTCCTGTAAGCAAAATACGTTAAGATAAATTAACAGAAAGAAATGTAAAATAATAATAATCATAAAATTACCATGATTAAATGTAACGAGATATTTTTCATCTAGGTTAATAGAAATGTTAGGACGTGCTGGGTTATGATAAAATATATTTATTTATATTACTTTTTATTTCTAAAAATTTTTATGAATTACTTATAAATAAAATCAATGATGGAATAGAAATCAACTTACAACCTATTATATCATTTTTAAATATTTTAAAATTTAAATTTACGTAAATAAATATCAATAAAAATCAAAAATAACTTACGCATTATATTATATTAATAATTATTAACTTAAATTTAGAGTTGTTATAAAATACATAAATTCAATGTATGATAAAAATCACTTACGATCTTGTGTAATTATTAAGAGATTTTAAATTTATATTAAGTTAAGTTTATAAATTAAAAAAAAAATAAATAGTACAAAAAATAACATACCTGTTTTCTCATTGGCTATTTTATTAATGAATAATTTTAATTTTAATTTTTATAAATTACACATAATTAAATGAATATAATAGAAATAACTTACATGATGCAACTTTGATTACTAATGAGTTTTTTAATTATATATTATGTACAATAATTTTAAAGTTAAAGTTAAGTTAGTCGAGATTTATAAACTATGCAATAAAAATAAATAACTTACATTCTATATCAAACATTAATCGATGATACATAATTTTAAAGGGCCACGAAAAAGAAAAGAACATTATAACTTGGTCATAATTTTGTATAAGGTACTATGAGAAAGATGTGCTCAAAACTTGTCCGCTTTTTTGTTTCTTTATAAAAGAAAAAAAAGGATAACCGCAAATTTGATCGCGTCGAGTGAAAAATACAAAAAAACAACTGAAAAATGTTTATTTATACAAAGGCATGCTTTTTTATTTCCAAATATGTTAATTGAATTCTATAATTTGTCATATTGGCTTTCAGCTAATAAATTTGCCTACCAACTTATGGTTAATGATGTAAGCTCCAATGAATTAATTGATGAGTAAACAATACAAATAAAATTATTAAAGTGTCATTTCCGATCAATTTTAAACTTAAACATGGGTTGAGATTTATGAAATGCTGTAATTTTATACTTTTTATAATTTCAAAATTTATCGTAATTGAAAAAATTGAATAGGAATATATTCATTCATTCTATATATTTAAAAGTATTAATTTTTTCAAATACAAAAAGTTTCTGCATTTCAACAAAATTAGTAAGTTAATAATGGCCATCCCTGGATTTTATTTTTTTGATTTGTATCTATGAAACTGACTGGATCAGTCATAATTCCCAGTGCCATTACAATATTATTGGATATAACCTTCCATATTTTCCTTTAAATGACGCTTTGGATCCTGTTTTCCACATGTCGAGTTTCAATTGTTCAGGTGTCATGGTTGATTCCTCTCGTACCGATTTATTATAAGATTCCGCCAATGTAAGCATCGACTAAAAAAAAGAAAGTTTGAAATTTTTTTTATAAGCAATCGAAAAAATAAAAAATTTTACATTGACACTCTTTCCATTGATCTCGGTGTGTTCCGTAAAGTTTGGCAGCGTCAATCCATGGATCCAATTTTTTTTGTGCAAATTGAGCAACATTTTCTGTTCTAATTCATTCTTTCGATAATTAATCGCAATCGAATAACAATGACGATTCAAACCATGGATCAAAGCCTAAATAAGGATAAATCAAAGAGTTAACGAATAATAACTTTAAAATCAAAACAGATTTAAATTAATGATCGTGCTTGAATACTTGGTTTATTAAGATGTCCGATATTGGATGTGATTTGACGTGGCTCTTGACCTAACATAAGCATTTGAGGATTGATCAGGCGAAAAGCATCAATAACTACTTTGCCTTTGACAGACTGTATCGGATCAACAACAACAGTCAACAGCCCTTTGATTCAATGCCTCAAAACTTTGTTGTGTATTTATACAGCCAACATCAAAATCCAGGGTGAGAGTGATATCAGTCAACCACCATTTCTGGTCTATAAAATTCATTAATCGAATCAGATATGAACCTTAATAATCTCATGCACAAAAGAACTTCAATTCATACCGTCCAGTTTGCTTCAACATATCTAACATTTTTGGGATCGTACCACTTTGAAGCATAGCAAATACATCAATTACACGTACACGAGTTCACCAAGCATCAAACCCATATCTTTCATAGGTATTTCGGCACGTCCTATCAATAATTTATAAATTAACAAATATAAATTGATGTTGAATAATACTTGGAAAAATTAAATCAAAAACTAACCGTGTTTTAAACATCTATCAAATAACAAATACAAAGAATGAAAATTTAGCGTGATGAATAGTATTTTCTAACCCAGTAATAACCACGCAAAACCAGAAATTTTTATGACAACTGATTTGATTTCCTACCTTAAGCAAAGCTAAAGAAGAAATATAAATCATTTCTGCGTTATCCACAGTTGGAGTATCTGGTGCCCAGTCCGAAAAGTCGTTGAAATCTTCCATTTTCAAAAATGACTAGGTAATTGCGGGGAATTGAAATTTGGGTATTTGATCAAAATATCCTAATACCGGCCCAATGACCATTGAAGTATTTCTGCCATGTCCATAAATTATTTTTTGAAAAGGTTGTGCTTATATTTTTTGCAAATCGGTCGACATTTAAGCTAAGTAAAAATATTTTCTTATAAGTTCTCCCAAAAAACTCAAAAAAAAAAAAAAAATAAAAAGTGAATAAATGAAATCTGCTGTGAAGAATATGTCGCTAAGAATATTTTTACGAGTATTTATAATATTTATTGACGAAGAATAGTGATACGTCATTTGCAATTGCATCATTATTTATTATGATTTTTCGTTGATTATTGATTAAAAAATAATCATTTTCATTGGAGAATAAATAATCAGATTAATAAATTATTGTTTTTGTATTACAGTAACTAATTATTTCTTTAATTTTTTTGATGTAGCAATGCTTTCTTTTTATTAAGTTTAATTTGGCAAAAAAACCAATATGATTTTTCTGTATTAATTTTTAATACAGTACAAATTTGCAAATCAGTACGAAGTATAATTAAAATTATAATATATAAAAAAAATTGTTAAACAATAAATAGTTTATTTAAAATATTTTAGAATATATAAATCTTTTTTTTTTTATTTTTTTTAAAAAAAAAATATTGAATTTATAGCTAAATAATTAAACTTAATTTATTAAATTAGCTTATATATTATATTAAAAAAAATAGAAATATCAATCGTTGGTGATAAATTAATTTGAAATTCTGAAGCTAATAAAATTCTTTTCTTTGGTGACTTCTTTCGGGTTGATTTGCTTCAAAAGTTTTTGTGACGGTGGAGGTGAATCGTTGAAAATCTGTCTCATGCCTCCCTAAATTAACAAGACAAAGGGAAGAACTTTTATTAACAATTAAATTATACAAATAAATAAACCAGTTAGTACAGCCTCTGCAATAAGCTTTTAAAAGAAATTCTCCAAAATTTTCTATTTATAGATCGTCAAGGGAACAAGGCGTAGTAATTCTCTAAGATAGGCGCAGCTAATGACACATGTTGGTGGGTATTGGCTTATACAGTGGCGCTCAAAAGTATTACATCACCTGAATACAAATTTTAAAATGGCATTTTCTTGTGATTAAGACGGCGCAGTGTCATATAAATTATTTATTAGACTTATTATAACCAAGTCTATTCAATATATGAAAATCGGTTTATAGTAATGAGATAAATTTTTAAAAAATATTTATTTT